GTTGTTTGGCGGGTCCGGGCTGGGGATTCGAACCCGCCACCTTAGGTGTACGTGGCTGGCGCCTTAGCCGGTTGAGCTATAGGCGCCGAGCCCAAACTCCTGTTCTTAAGCCATCTTCTTGCCACAGCCTCCTGAGTTCTTGGGACTACAAATACTCACTGTAATGCCCAGCTAGTTTTTCTGTTTTTGGTAGAGATAAGGTCTTGATATTCCTCAGACTGATCTCCAACTCCTTGAGCTCAAGCAGTCCACCTCCCTAAGCCTCTCTAAGAGCTAGGATTATAGGTGTGAGCCACTGCACCTGGCCTATTTTCTGATGCAAAACTGAACTTTCTTTCTAAGGAAGATGTCAGGATCTAGTTTTGGAGAGGGATTCCTTAGAGCCAGGCAATCTGCCAGTGACTCTCTGTGAATGGGGCTGGCCCAGTCCTAGGGTCTTCTTCCTATCTAGACAGGGAGGTGACTCTCCAGGTGCTTTCAGGCCCATGCCTCAGTCTACTGTATCTCCCTTATCCCAGGATGGAAGTTTGCAGTGTCCCTCTTGCAAAACTATCTACGGAGAGAAAACGGGGACCCAGCCTCAGGGGAAGATGGAGGTTTTAGGGTTACAGATGTCACTCCCAGGCCATGAGGACTGTGGGACAATACTCATCATTTACAATATTCCTCATGGCATCCAGGTAAGGGGAATCCTGCACAAGAGGAGCCTCTTGGGACTTTTCTGGAATCCATCATTCCTCAGCTCTTGTTCTCCTCACCTGCTCCTCTCCCAGTGGTTTGCATCTTGGATTGGGGATGAGGATGCCCATGTTGCCAAGTTTAGGCTCCCAGTTCCCCTTCCAACTGGAGCAGGGAGGGCTAGGAACCTAGGGGCAATAGTGCTGGGGGTGGGGCAAGCTCTTAGGCTGAGGAATCGAAGAGGTGGCCCTCAACTCTTCTGAGCCAGGGAGCCTTCTGGGAGGAGGAGACCTCTTAGTTGGACTTGTACTGGGCAGGGTGTGCAACAAGGAACCTTCTGGGTGGCAGAGTGTGGGCTGGGAAAGGGCTGAGGAGCCCAAAAGGAAGGACCTTTGTTCTTGAGAGACTGGCTAAGGACACAGATGGCAGGTTCAGGTTGTCGTGGCAGGGCTTGGTCTGGATATCAGGAACCAAGCACAGGTCCCAGGGTCTTGGTAGAGACTGAGACAGGAGTCCTGACCTTCTGGGTCCCCTGCCTGGTGCCAGGTGGGAGGATATGGTGGCACTGTGCACCAGGCACCAGGTGGGGTCTGTCTGTGGTGGATGGAGTACCAGTCTGTTTTGTTGAATGGTATGACTTTTGCTGGTTACCCTCTTCCGTGGCTTTATTCATTTATTGTTTTGAGACCGAGTCTCACTTTGTCATCCATAGTAGAGTGCCATGGCCTCATAGCTAACAGCAACCTCAAACTCCTGGGCTCAAGCAATTCTCTTTGCCTCAGTTTTTCCTTTTTTATAGAGATGGAGTCTCACTCCTGCTCAGGCTGGTCTTGAACTCATGAGCTCAAGCAATCTACCCGTCTTGGCTTCCCAGAGTGCCGAGATTACAGGTGTGAGCCAACATGCCCAGCCAACTCAAGAAAATTTAGAAATACTCTGAACAGGCTAGCGCCTCAGAGCAGAAGAGAATTTCGAGTTTACATGGACTTGTCTCTGTGTGGTGGAGGGCAGGGAGCAGGGGCTATGTGGGCTGTCTCAGTACTTCCCCTGTCCAGTGAGCCACGGCTGTCCTGGGGCCCCTCCAGCCTGTTCTCAAGACAACTGTGCAGCCCACGATGTGAGGAGGGTGTGGTGTGATGTGTGTGGGGTCACAAAGGAGAGTCCTTCCATTCAAACCAGAGGGCCCTGTGCCTGGAGGGTTGCCAAAGAAGTAGGAGATTCTGTCCCTGCCTCTGAAGAGTTCCTGGTGCCATTAGGGAAAAAGAAAGGTAGCAAGAGATGTCTCATGCCAGACAGAGTGGCACAGGTTCAAGGGAGGGCATTTGTAGGTAGAAGTCCACAAGCACTTTGGGTCTCTAAGGGGCATTTGGTCACTTCAGTACAGAAATGGTCTACAGCCAGGAAGGCCGAGGGGTGAGGCTAGGTGTCTGTGTCCTGTAAGCCTCTACAGCTAGCTAGGTGGGCCCTCGGAACACTTCCTCATGTCTATGTTCTCCTTGCAGGGCCCTGAGCACCCTAATCCTGGAAAGCCATTCACTGCCAGAGGGTTTCCCCGCCAGTGCTACCTTCCAGATAACACCCAGGGCCGCAAGGTAAAGTCCCCTCTACCCATCAGGGGCGGGAAGGGCCCTGACCAAGTGATTGAAGGCAGGCTGTGACACTTGGCTCTGCCTGTGCAGGGAGAGGATGAGATGCAAGGGCTGGGTATTTGCTGCCCCTTTCTGAGGACCTGCTGTGGGTGCAGGGAGGGAGGGTCTAGACCTCACAGGACTCCTAGCAGCCTGCCAGGCCAAGTCACAAGCTCGTCAAAGTCAGAGATTCGATGTGGGAGGACTAGGTGACCCATGACAGCCTGAGAAGTCATGTCCAAACTGAGACCTGGAAAGAGACTTTGCAGCTACAAGAAGGTCAGGGACAAGCTGCACAGTGAGGGCTTGTGGAAGCAAGGCCACCCCCAGGCCCACCATAGAAGTGGGGTGATCCTGAGCACCCACACAGCCTTGTGGGGGTGGAGCTGCTGACATGAGGTTTAGAAAAGCTCGGGCTGTCATGGAGAGGAAAGGCCCTTGGTTGCTGAGCATGGAAGCAGGAAGATGACAGGGAGGCCTGGATGACAGGGGGGCGTGGTGTTGGCCTGGCAGCTGGGCACATGGCATTGTTGGCACTGATACAGGCCCCGGCTCATGTGGGATCTTATTGGGCTGCTTGGTAGGCAGTGCTGGGGGGTCCCTAGGGATGGCTGACCAGGGCTGGGGGTAAGACCACCTGGGAGAGAGTTGGGTGAGAGGAGCATGGGGCCCACACTTGCTCCCTGGGCCTTCCTGCCCTCTGCCTTCCTCACTCCCCCCTTCTCCTTCCACTTCCCCCTTCTCCTTCCACTTCCCTCTTTCCTCCTGTTGTCTCCTCCTTTCCTGCCCTGCCCTTCTTTTTCCTCCTCCTCGACTTCCCCCTCTTCCTCCCCCTCTTCCTCCCCCTCTTCTTTCCCCTTTTTTTCCCCTCTGCCTCCTCCCCTTCCTCCTCCTCTTCCCTCTCCCTTTTCCTTAAGCAGGTCCTGGAGCTCCTAAAGGTGGCATGGAAGAGACGCCTCATCTTCACAGTTGGGACATCCAACACTACGGGAGAGACTGACACCGTGGTATGGAATGAGATCCACCACAAGACAGAGATGGACCGCAATGTGACAGGTCATGGCTACCCTGACCCCAACTACCTGCAGAACGTGCTGGCTGAGCTGGCTGCCCAGGGAGTGACTGAGGACTGCTTGGGGCAGCAGTGACCTGCCAGCCTCCCACTCCTGACTTTGGTGACCGCCCCACCACTGTTGACTGGGCTTCCTTCCCTGAGTGGGCAGTCAGGAAAGTGCCCATCCTGAAAGGCTAGAATGTGTGTTGGGGGTGCAGGGTGCATGCCACCTGAAGCCAGGGCTTCTCCCTCTGGGCATGGATCTGCGTGGGAATTGGGCAACCCTGGGGAGTTGTACTTATGGGGCTTAAGATGCAGCTACCTCAGTGTACGGGGCCCTTCTGTCCTCCAGGGGGCTGCTGTGGGCTCATAGCACCCAGGGCCTGGTGTGGGGTGAGTAGAGACTTGCCCCAGCCTGGGCAGGCGTGGGTTCTAGGTCAGCTTCTCATACCTCATATTTTGTTTGCAATAAATAAATGTTCTATAGCCAAAGCCAGTAGCCTTGTATGTTCATTAGTGGAGAGAGAGAGAGTGTGTATGTGTGTGTGAGATCTGACCCTCTGTGCAGAGGCCAGCACACACTTCATGCTGCATCAGAGCAAGAAGCCACTGTTCCACCCCCATGGGATGAATGACTGAACAGGCCTCAGTGAGGGCTGAAGGGCCATGTGCTGACCCTTGCTGCTTCCACCCCCCACACAGACCTAATGGCGTGCAGCCCCTTGTATAGGTATTCCCAGGGTTCTACTTTACAAAATACCTGTCACACAGACAGGTGCTGCTGTCTCTGTTTGATAGATGAGGAAACAGGTTCAAAGGCACAATGACTGGCCCAAGGTCCCAAGCTGGTTAAGTGGTAGAGCCAGGACTGGAATCTAGGGCAGAGTCGGTCAGCAGCTATGGGGCACCATCCTCAAAGTTCTCATTCTTGACCTTCTTAGGAGGAGGAGTGAATGCTCCCAGTCAAGAACTTCTGCCTGCTGGGTAGTAGTTCTTACCTGAGAGAGGAGGAAGCAGAGCAGAGTCTGTCATGGGCCAGAGGAACTTTTGCCTTTGTGAGTCTTATTTCTCTATTAAAAAATAAATTTACTTAAAACTTAGGCATAAAGATAAACATATTAATATTAGGCCATTTTCTTTCATCTAAAAGTTCATTTTCTTCATTCTGATTGTAAAAGAAATCAAAAACATTTTCATAGGCTCCTATAATTATTATGGACCTGGTGCACTGTCTCTAATGATAAGTTAGTCTTTTTTTTTGAGACAGAGCCTCAAGCTGTCCCCCTGGGTAGAGTGCCATGGCATTACAACTCACAGCAACCTCCAACTCC